CCCCAAAACCCCAAAACCCCAAAACCCCAAAACCCCAATTCTCTTCTCTAAAATTGAAAATTTCTTCTAAAAATCTACTTTAATATTGTCTTTGAATTCTTGATTGTCTTTGGCCAAGTCGAGGACGATCACGTTTGTTTTGATGATAGTTGGTTTAACCTTCTCCCCTTCTCCTTCGCTCTTCTCTCCCTCATCCTTCTTTCCTTCATCTACAAAATCCAATCACCTCAGCCCCAAATCCCCTTCCCAACCCCCCCAAAACTCCTTTTCTCCCAATACAAATCCCAAAATCCCACTAAAATCTCCCCAAATTCCTTTATAGGGGTTAACAATTTTCTACCAAAAATCCCTGCATCCCAGAATCTCTGTTCTAAACAAGAAGGATTTCAATAGAATTCCAGGTGCTCAACGGCAGAATAGGCTGGCTGGATAGGGCCAAATAATAGAAGTTATGCTATGTGAAGGTATTAAGGATAGTGTGAAGAGAGATTAGAGTGAATTGGTGCTGTTCTGGGATATTGGAGGTGGCTAAGGATTTTTAGAGTGGGGTTTTGGGGGTTTGGTGTTGATCTTTGAGGCGAAATGTGCTTATTAGTGGGTTATTTGGATGAAGTAAAGGATTGTTAGGAGGTTTATGGGGTTTAGTGGGGAAATTAGTATTAATTGATCATTTATTGCGAAAATTCTTTGTTAGCCAACATTTGTGTAAGACTGGAGATTTAAGATATGATTTAGATAGCAGAGGGTTAGCTATAAATACTCTTTATGGAATTCTCCTATTATTGACCAACCCTTACTCTAATATGATAATAAATTCTTCACAAAACATAACACAAAACTAAATTTTGGAGAGATAAACAAGTCATAATTTAAAAATAGGTCATTTCTCAAATAGGAGGTGTCAGATATCACTCTATTAGACATTATTATGTCCAAAAAAATACTCAATTTCTCTGATTTCAGGCAAGGAAAGATAAAAGTTATTACTACATGAGGTAAGAGTATTCCTAGACTAGTGGAGAACTGTAGGATACCAGATAATCACGATAATTATAAGTCTAATGAGTCTATTCTAATGAGAGATTCCTGTGGTATCAGCCATTAAAAACACATTTGCTGGTTAACCCTGAAATCTCCAAAGTCTTATTTCATATCAAAGAGCTTATTAAGTTGGATTTTAAGCAGGTTTTAAAAACTTTGCATGTTTTCATGAAAGAATCTTAAGAAATTAAAGAATCTACAAAAAGAAAAGTAGATTTGTTTCAACCTCTACTTCAGATTAACTTCTCGATGTCAGATTAAACTCATAAATTTTGATTATTAAAGTGCTGATGCTGATTAAAAGAGCCTCCTCATCAATTAATTCCTAATCTAAAGCCTGAACGGAGAGATAATCTGCCAAGATGCACTCAGGAGATACATCTTCCAATTCTTTACATAAAGCACTTCTCCCATTTACTTACCGTTGTTATTGTTGTATAAATCGCTGAGCAGAGATGATGTCATAAATGTAAGAAGATGACAAAGTAAGGTATTCGATTTGTCCTCTTTGCACTGAGCAACTATTGCTCTGCTTATTTCATGCATCTCAGGGCTTATCACTTTAGAAATAGCATCATTAGAAGGCTTATCCTCATTAGTTGCTGTAGCCTTCTCTGTCTCATCGGGTGTTTTACTTTCTTTTTTGGGAGAAGTACCTCTTGTGTTCTTCTTCATTCCTGAAGGTACTGGTGGTGGCCCTGATACCTTCAAAGCTCCTTCATTAACTTCACTTCTCTTGATCACCTCCTTCTTCACACAAACCGATGCAGAGTATGGAGGTATCAATGTTTCCATCTCTTTCGAATAATTCGACATCCCAATCATATTAATCTTCCCTGAATTTTTCGATCCCTTCCTTATACCTCATCATTAAGCCCTTAACCCAGCCCCTTTTCCCAAATCCACTTACTTAACATTAAACTTAATCATCGAATTCCTTATCACTTTCTTCTTCTCTTCGCTGGTCTGTGTCTGCCCGTCCAGAAATTTCTGAGCTTCTCCATATTTCTCACTAGCGCAGGCCCAAGTGACCATCCTGAAGGTCTCGCCTGTCTCGATGCGTTGGAGTACGTTGGCAGGGACTCCACGGTAGACTGATCTGTCTTCTGTGTTGGCATCTGAACCTAGATCGGCGATATATGTGTTCAACATGCGCATGTATTTAATACTTTTATCAATAACTTCTTTGTAGTATGGTTTTATGGGCTCACGCTCTTTGTAGCTTTTATCATATTCAGCTAATACATTCTCATAAAACTGTGCGCCCTTAAAGACCTCTTCTCCAAAAGTGGCCACCGCATCAAGGACAAGGCCTGCGTTCAGGATCTTCGTGAACTCACTATAAACCCGTTTAGCCTAACTTATCAATTCAATATTTAGACGCACAAAAATCCAGCATTTTCAGAATTTATTGGTGAACAAAGATCTTTGCGTAAAAATTAGGAATGCAAAAGCTATTGGTCGAGTTTGGAAATGAAGGAAAAAGAGAAGAGAGCACGTACTGGTTTGAAGTCCAGAGCTTGGTCACTACCATGCGATCTTCAGCGGGAGCATCGGGTGTATAAGCTGAAGAAATTTCATTGGTAATATCGGCATCATGGTGGAATAAGTCCATAAGATCTTTCATTGCCTCTTCTAACTTAGGCATTCTCTCCGTTCTATTAAACGCTTCTAAACAATTAAAGTAAAGTATTTACCAAAATAGTATGACTTAGTGAAATTCTCTTGGAAAACCTCTTCAGTAACAACAGAGCTTTGGAGTTGAGCTTCCTTCTTCACTTCAGGTAGCTCCTCAAATGGTAAATCTTCTGATTCGTACTCTGACATTTCCGACACCTCAGATTCTTGGTATTGATAAATCATCTCTTCTTCCTCTTCTTCCTCTTGTTCCTCTTCTCCCTCAGTTGTATCCGGATGTAGTTCCTCAAAAGTCTTATATCAGTCATAGTACACACCGTGGTGAATAGGCAGACAGTCGTACTTCTTCTGTACTCTCTGCCTGAGTTCCTCCCTACAAGCACGAAGAGGTTTCTCACAGAGCTTACACCTATTGATCTTGGAGGCACTCCAATGAGTGAAGGAGTAAGGAAGGCAGCGGGGGACTCTGGGACGTTCACATGAACGACTAATAGAGTAGATACGAGGAATGTGTGGAAGAAGGGGATCGAAAGGAGATCTGTACATGGAAAATTTAATTTGGAGGAATAAAATTGAGGGAGAGAGGGGTTTTGGGGTTTTGGGGTTTTGGGG